CTACTGATTATTAAGCTATTATAAAAAGATTATTAAAATTATATCATTTGAATCTTGACTGCTTTTTAGGATGTATCCATAAATATCATAACTTCTATGTGATCTTTATATTTCTCCTCAAACATATATTAAACTTTATCTGAATTAATTAATTAGTCAAACTTTCTAATGGAAACTAAGCCTGACTTGGCTGAATGGTTTGACGATACTGAAGAGTGGCTTCAATAACTATGTCATATGGCAGAAATCCTCCATAGACTGAATGCACTGAGCTTGCAGCTCCAAGGTTTTGGAAAAAAAACTGTATGTATTTAATATTTATAATTAATATTTTAAATATTAAGATAAATGTGAAATTCAAACTTGACATACTGAAAATAAAATTCATATTCAAATGTGACAAAATAAAAAGCATTCTGTCAAAAAATAGTGCAGCAGCAAAGGTATAATGAAATCAACACCTTTCCCCCAACCCTTGAGCACATCGGCATCTCTAAGTGACAGAGTGAGGGGTAGAGTTGACAGCCATATGTTAAGCCTTGGTAAAAGGCTTTCAGTATTCTTCCCAGAAACTGAGAAAGGGAATGACTCCAATCATCAGGATCAGGGAGCAGATCCTTTTGCCAAGTCTGTGGTTTCCAATTATTTGCTTTCAATAAAATTGAAGGAAGATCTAATCAAGTTGACAGCTTATAGATCATTAAAAAGAATTTTTAAGGACAGATCATTCACATTTTTGGCATAGAACTCTAAAGCAGTTCAAAGAATTAAGTGACCTTGCTTTAGTGAACTCCTCCCATTTCCATATACTTATTTATGCGAGCAAGGCTCTAGTCATACATCTATAAAAATAAAAAATAGAATTAAGGCTAAACCCACTCATGATATATCAACTATTTTTTTTATAAGTACTCCATCATGTCATTAAAAGATGTATTTTCAATAGTTAACACAAAAAGTAAAATTTTATTAAAATTTATACCATTATGTTGATTTGATCAACAGTGTATTAATAATTGATCAACTGAGACCAATAATATCTTAGGAGTTTTAACACTTAGAGCCTTATAATCACAGGACATAAGATTAAAAATGTGAAAGTGTATTATTTTTTTGTTTCAGATAAACATAACAGAGTGATCACTAACAGACTAAGCATTAAAAACATTACATTAGTATACAATTCTGTGGGAAAGGAAGACTGGAAATATAAGTTCACGGAGAAAAGGAAAATATACTATTTTCAATTAAAGAACTTGTTCATGTATTTTTTAAAAATTAAGAATTATGGGGATCAAATTATTTTGGCACTTAGATTCCACTGGACATAATTAAGAGTAATTTAATCATTCATTCATTTTAAATGTTAATATTTAAAATATGCTGGAATTTAGGTCCTTTGAAATTTATGATGAAAAATTTTAAATAGCAACTTAAAAATGTGCAAGGGAGTACACTGTTTCTCAAAATTCTTTTGAGAGTACGCAAGCAAAATTTTAGACTATGAGTCTAGAGAATGTTAGATGCATTACAAAGGTGTTAAGAATCAGAAATAAGCTTGTTAGTAGCAAACATCTTAATTCATTCTCAAAATAATTAAGAAACAATAGAATTTGGCTGAAGATGGGCAGACAGTTTATTAAACAAGGAGTTATCAATGGAAGCAGTACTGCATTTCCGTTTTCATGAGTCTGTCTTTAGCTTAATATTCTGAATATAATCATATGGATACTGGTATGCGTGTGGGCTGGAAGATGAGAGATAGAAGGCCAGTCTTCCTTAATACCGCAAAACCGCCTCATGACTCAGCGGCCTAAAATCTGAGCAAATGTCAAAGAGTCTATTTTCTATAAAAAAGCAGATGCTTCCCCCAAGTCAGTTATGTTATTCAAACATTTGTTCTGAAGTCACACTCACCTGTTTAATGCCCAGTCCTTTCTCATGCATATATCCCAGATTAAACATAGCTTGTGCACTGTGTTGCTGCTCAGATGCTAGACGGTAATGAATAAATGCAGTCTCATAATCGACATCAGTGCCAAATCCATAGAAATGGTAGTCTCCAAGCTTAATTCTAGCCACAGTATAGCCTTAAACAAAAGTTAAATAAAAAACTGCCAATAAATAAAGTGTGCTTAAAATTAAAATTGTTATTTCTCTTCCTGCTAATATGCTTACATAAAACAAAGAATTTTAGTTTTTAGATACAACTTTATAAACAAACCCCTCAGACATGCTATCAGTAAAAATTCAAACTAGAAGTGTTGCTCTTTTACAGAGGGCTTTGTAGTAATCAGGGAGAGGTAAAAGAAGGTGGGTGGTCTCCCTATTTCACTAAGAAAAACAAAAACCCACTGCTGTCAAGTTGATTCCGACTCAGCGACCTTATGGGACAGAGGAGAACGGCCCCATAGGGTCTCCAGGGCTGTAATCTTTACGGAAGCAGACTGCCACATCTTCTTCCCATGGAGCAGCTGGTAGTTTTGAACCACCAATCTCTTGGTTAGCAGCCGAGCGCTTAACCACTGTGCCACAAGGGCTCCTTATTTCACCAAAAATACTTTTCAAATGATCATTCTTTGGTTCCATCATGTCTTTTACACTTTAAAATAGTTCAGCTTGGAGAAGAGCTAGGCAGACATTGTTGAAAGGACTATATGTGAGAAAGAAATATTCAAAAGACTGGGGAAACGGTACAGTTCTTTGGGTTTTAGGCTGATATTATATTAAATATTCTACTCAATGCTCATTTTACACTGAATAAGCCTCAAGTTAAAAATCAAAGAATGAACCATCGCATGATATAAATGTCCCGTACAAAGTCTTTGCAATTCCATTTAGAAACACTGGGACCAGAATTTCCATTTCAATGATGAATACCAGCCATAATGCAAGTAAGTTAGGCAACAGTATCCCTGCTTAATTTCAAGGTAATGAATGATATGATTTAATCTTTATGGGAGACAAAAAAACAATATAGAGAGGACCCAGTGAAATGCCTATCCTAGAATTAACGACTCACCTTGAGAGGCGGCTCTGTTCCAATGTAGCAAAGCTCTGGGGTAAGTTTCATTCTCACCTACAATGGTTGCTTCTCCTGTAAGGAAAGAAATGAAATACAAATCAGGCATTTAAGGAAACACACTAGACTTTTAGGCTTCATTTGCAAACTAGGGGGGCTATATGGAGCATAATTGAAACAAAAATTGGAATATAACAAGTATTAAAGAAATATTGACATTTAACAAATACTAGAATAAGATACTGAGTTCTAAAGAATCAATGGATTCAGGATGGCACTATTTCCTGAAACACGTTTTATCTACAGAACCAATAATGAGCCTGATTACTGAGCCATTTCTAGGGAGCTATATACTGTTGGAAAAACAGTGTTTTCTTAGCTACTGTATTTTGCAGACTATATTTACTGACAGCAGTTAATTTTATGATGAAAGCCAAATTTATTTCTACCATCAACTCTAATCGTAACACTAAGTTTGATGGCTTAGAGATCCGAGGGAAAAATAACTTAAGGGGCTGTGTTGTTGTTAAGTTTCATTTGCAACAATAAAGAATGTTTCTCTGTGGCTTTCCGTTTCAACAGGTTAACCTGGAGGGCAGCCTTGTATTCTCAATCTAAGACAGAACTAAAATGAACCTCACTCTGATCGAGAATGAAGGCTGCATTGCTCTGTGCCACCTCATAGCCCTGCTCGGCCAGCAGGAGGTACTGGATCACTGCGGCATTGTAGTCACCATCTTTGTAGCTGTTATAGGCAGCCATGAGCCTCTCAGACCAACGACCTCGTTCACATACATTCTTAAACAACTATGACAAGGGGAAAGAAAATATACAAATGAAAAATAAGCAGCAGAAAGATATGCCAGAAAATCATTTTTGCACTTCGGCTGCAAGAGATTCTTAAGCTTGCTTCTTATATCTCTGGCAGCTTTAATAAATTTGCACAAAAGTTTGAGATATTTATTGAAGCTTTCCACTTAGCTTTTAGAAGTCAACACATTCATAAAAATAATAGGAAACAGTTATACACATTTACTCTGTGCCAGGTACTGTTCTAGGGATTTTTCGTATATTAACTCATTTAATCATTCCAACAGCCCTATGAAAAACCCATTGCCATCGAGCTGATTCCAACTCATAGCAACCCTAAGTATTAACTCACTTAATCCTTCCAACAGCCCTATCAGGGAAGTCCTATTAATAGCCCATTATAAAAGTGAGAAACTAAAGCACAGAGAGGTCTGGAAATTTTTCTAAGCATTTATCAGTGTCATGCTAATGTGCTAGATATGAGAGAGCTAAAGAGGAAAATTGCAGATTAGGAGAATTAGCATCCCCCTTTGTAATATTCATTGAACATATACTTTTTTCGATGGCTCACTATGTATCAGGTATTGTCCCCTTTGCTAGAGATATTGCATACAATATCAGCCCTTATAAACATTGGCTGTAACAGGGAGAGACAAACTAAATAAATAAATACAGTAGTAATACACAGACCCTCAGAGTCTTCTCTGAGTATATTAGTGCCAGGAGGCTGAGTCTATTTCTGCTCTAGAAAAGATCTTGCAAAGATAACGAGAATTAAAAGGGAGACTTTCCTACTGGGCAAATCAATTCCCCTTAGTAAGTCAGTAAAAAAGACCTTACCTCCACTGCAGTGTGACACGATCGCATCACACCTGTGCCACTAGCGTGCATCTGGGCCAGGTTATAGAAAGCCAAGATATGGCCTCCCTGAGAGGCTAAATTAAAATATTTCAAGGCCTGTTTATAATCTCTCTTGACGCCAATGCCATCTGTAAGAAAAACCACATGAAAAGTCAGTAGTTGTCTTAAATAGGGTTTAGTTGAAGCATCAGAGAACCTTTATATATGAAGAATAAAACTTTAAATGCAAGTCAGAATTCTTCCTCCGGAAGGATGGGATTCTGACTAATAACTATAACTTACAATGAAAAACAATGCACGAATCACTGAATTGGGAGAAGAGTAATTGGCCAGAACTGGATGGCTCTCATTTCTCTATCACAGTGCCATCTAGTGGAAAACAGGTTAATTCTGATCTTAGTGTATCCATTACCAACTCCAATGTTACTTACTATAGTACATAGAGCCAAGCTGTAGCTGCCCATCCACCCAGCCTTGTTCAGCAGCTTTCTGGAAATACTTGAGTGCCAGATCATAATTCTGTAGAGAAAGAGGCCACATGACCAGAAAGCTTGAAAGGCTGATATACTCAAATGTTTGGAGATTTCATTCATTAAAAGGTATTAGCAAAACATACAAAATACTCTTGAAAAGACATTAAAAAGACTAATGAAGTCCTAATACATGCCATAACATGGATGAACCTTGAAAATATGCTGAGTAAAGTAAGTCAATCACAAAAAGAAAAATATTGTATGATCTCACTAATATTAAACACATAGAACAGATAAATGTGCAGAGATCAGAGTTTAAAGAGGTTAACGCGGCATAAGGGAAGGAGAAAAAGGGGAATTTTTGTTTAGCTAGCGCTGAGTTTCTGCTGATGGATGGAAAATATGGCAGTGGATGCTGGTGGTGTAATTACATGACTGATGTAACTGGTTTCATTGAATTGTACAAGTGAAAAATGCTGAATTGGCAAATGTTGTGTTACCTATATTTTTACAAAAATAAAAAAAGATTACTTTCTTATTTTTTATAACACGTAGATGGTAATACACTTTAAGTCAAAGGGCAATTAATATTTAAAACTGTAAGAAAAGCAAATAGAGTTTTTGTGAAACAATTTCTATATTAGATCTCAGAAAGCATAAACAACGATGTCAGGAAAACAGACCAGGAATTAAGAAACAGTCATACCTTTTCTGCTAACCAACTAATCCTTTTTAAACTTCAATTTTTCTAGTATTAAATAATAAAAATCATCCCTCCTTATTAGCTCCTTTCCCGTGTAGCTTATCAAACACTACATGATTATTAGATCTCAAATATGTGTTCACAGAGAAAGTTAAAATAAAGATTACTACTGAATTTAGTATCCTAAAATAACTAGGACTCAAAATGAGATAACATTACTGTTTTTTATGTTAGGCAATACCTATAGGTTAGAATCTTAATGATAAGGTTAAGATTAGTTAGCTCTTAGTTTTAGGCGCAACTTAAAAGAACATATTGCCTGGGGACATCATCCAGAGAAGAGAAGAGGGCGTCAATGAGAACCCAGGGACACCCAACATGAGAAAGTAGTACAGAGCAATGAGAAGGAATGGTCAAAGAAAACCAAGAAAGCTTACAGTTGCTGAACCCTAGGAAAGAGAGAGTTCTAGAAGGCAGAAACAAAAAATGTCATTTGGCATTGGCATTTAGGAGGTTACTGGTGACTTATACGGAGCAGTTACACAAGACAGAAGCCTGACTGCTAAAAGTTGAAGAGTGATTGGCTAATACAGTTCATTCTTTGAGGAACTTGGCTTTGTATGAAAGGCTAGAGAGAGGAGAGCTTATAGCCAGAAGGTGGGAGAGAAGAGATGGTAGCTAGAAGGGGTAAAGGGCAGAATGGAAAGCTTTCCCCCTCCTAAATGGGAGAGAGTCAGGCACTTTTGGAGGCCTGAGTGAAGTAAGTAGCAAGGAGATGTTTAAGTCCTGGAGAGATGGGAAGGGCAGGTAGGGTAAAAGACACAGATGGAAGAATGAGAAACAGTCTGACATCCTCAGAAGAAGGTGCCAGAGATGGAACCCTCCTAAAAAGGAAGTTGGGGAGGAGGGGCAGGGTGATGGGTGGTAGTGATTCAAACTCAGAGTCAAAAGGAAAAGATTCAGCTTTGGTTACTACGAAACACCCTCACCTGGGCTGAATGGATGCTACCTAACGAATACCTCCCTGCCTCATGAGCTGACTGCTTTTTAAAGTCAGAATGTTAGCTTGAACACTTACAACTTGAACTCCTCTTCCATAGAGGTAAGCCATTCCAAGCCCACTCTGTCCAACTGGGTTGCCCTGCAAACCAGAGAAATGAGACGAAGGAGAAAAAAGATTCATTCAAAAATAGGCAAGAAAAAATGAATAAAAGAAAAATAGCAAAATAAATCATTTACAAACATTCAAAACATATCTTAGTACTTTACAATTCAAAACAAAACTTTCTCCTTCACATCAGACTAAAAATAATGCTGACTTTTTTAAACATCTGGGAAGCTTCCCACAATTTGCCTGGAAAGAGTAAAGTCCAATTAAGTTTTGTTGACTTACCTCCTGACCATCTGTACCATAAATTCATAATACAAAATTCAACTACTGTATTTCATCTTCTTTTTTAAACTAAAAGTAGGTCGTGTGTGTGTGCGTACTGGAGTAGCAACCCCCATGCCAATAAAAAGGAAGATACCATGGGGTGGAATCAACAACTGGGTAATAACAGCAAAATTGCTATCAGGTGGCAAAGATACTGAAAATTACTGAAGTGCTGTGGAGCAAAGGTAATCATTATTTTGAAAACTAAAAGAGACAAATCTAGAATCTGCCTGAACTCAGAGGGAGAGAACCAACAACATATCTTTAAAAAAGTGTCCCAGTGTTCCTTCAGGAAGCACTCAAGTGACATGGGAACTACAGTCAGATGTAGCTGGCAAAGAGATCAACGTACACGCTGGAGGCATATAGGGTATTAATTAAGCAGGCATCTGCAGTTCTCTGAAGTAAACTTCAGGTCAAAGAAAGTCTAAATTATGTACAAAGATTTTTGTAAAGTACCCAAGTATGTAAGAGTTTAAGCCTCAAGTTGCAATACAAATAGGAGTAGATTACATAATTCCTGATTCCACTACTAAAATCAGTATATTTCCCTGATCAGGATATCTTTCAATTAAATTTACATAGGCTTAATGTTCAACAGTCTTGTCTTTAGTGGGGGGGCGGGGGAGGGGGTATTCGGAAGGTTTTTTCTAGTCAATTCATTCACATAAATCATATTTACATAGGTGCTTTCAACAATTTATGGCAAGAGTTGGTTATGATTAACACTTGGATATATTAAATTTTTATTATAGTTGTTAGGTGCCATTAAGTCGACCTTCAACTCAGAGAGACTCCATGTGACAGAACAGAACTGCCCCATAGGGTTTTCTAGGCTGTAATCTTTATGGGAGTAGAAGGCCAGGTCTTTCTCCTGTGGAGCCACTAAGTGGGTTCGAACTGCCAATCTTTTGGTTAGCAGCCAAGTGCTTAACCATTGTGGCACCAGGGGTCCTTAAAGTAATAGTATATGGTGCATATTTCAACACACTGAGTCATGAAGTCTTACCATGTCAGCAGCTTTCTTAAAGTAGTGAAGAGCTGTCTCATTACTCTGAGGTACAATATCACTTCCCTCTGAATACATCTGGAAAATAGACCCCAACTTCATTAAGAGCTATAATCCTCTCCCCACTTTAAGTTTTCTCCCATCACATCTCATTCTGGATATCTATTTCCAGGATAAGACAAAAGCTGGGTCTTAGGTTCAAGAAAATAACTAAAAGGTTATTTTAAAAGGTTTCAAACACTGAACATTTAGACTACCAGGTATGGAAAATGATAAAGGGCCAAGGAAAGTAGAACAGAACAACCAATCCTGTCTTTATCCATGTACACTGTATGGAAACGACAAATAAGGGAAATAATTTTTTGACATAGAGATACCTAGTAATTTAGAACAAGAACCAAAGGGCTACAATGAAAAGTTCTTAAATACTTAACAAAAACAGCTGGGGGAATACCATTTTCTATGCTGTAATGGTTGGCATGTTTAAACATAAAGCTGCCAGGCCCCAGTTAACAAGTGTGATCACGTGGTAATTAGTGATTAGATTTCCCAATCTGTAAAAACCTCTGTGATATATTTCATCTAAACCTCCTTACCTTAGGATTTGGTTATAGATGAAAATACTCACTGATTTGCACAATGAAAGAAAAAGTTCTGAAATTGTGCTATGATCCATGCAATTGACTCATTAAGTCTATAGACTTAAATATTTTCTTGCTCTAAAAGAGAACTAGATTGAGAAGTAGGTGATGGCTATCATGTTTAGGACAATTAAAAGGTGTGCAGGTATAGTTCAACAAACATTATCAGCTGCCATCGAGTTGATTCTGACTCATGGTGACCCACTGTGTTGCTCCATAGGGTTTTTAAGGGTGTGACCTTTTGGAAGCAGATAGCCAGGCCTTTCTTTCTTCTTCTGAGCAGCCTCTGGGTAGGTTCAAACTGCCAACCTTTTGGTTAGTGGTCAAGTGCTTAACCATTTGTGCCACCTAGGCTTCCTCAACAAATACTAACTGCCTCTATTTACCATGGAAGGAAACAGGCAGCTATGACAGATTTTGCAAAAATAAATAAATAAATAGTACAACATGAAGAATAAACACCTTGTTATTCAATAAAATATACAAAGAATTACAAGCACACACAGTAAAAGCTAATTTTAGTGGAAAATCAACATACTGATGGGCAAATGCTATGTTGCATTTAAGCTGCCTAAGAAAATGCCTGAGAACAGCATTTACCTTAAGATATAATACCCTTGGATTGGAAACTTTATTTCTGATTTATGTTTGGTAAGTTGTAGATCCTGAATACAATATGTGCTTACTATGCAAACACCACCCCTATTATATAATACTTTTGCAGGATGTACAGTACCTTTCCCAAGAAGGCCATAGCATGTGAATTGCCAGCATTTGCCGCTAAATTGAAGTAGTCAAATGCTCTCTGTGAGAAAAGAATTTATGGAAATAATTTCAAAACAGAAATCACTACAACACAGAAGTTTTATCATATAGCACATCAAGGTACCATTTATCTTTAGGTCATTTCATAGTAACAGATGCGAAGATATGTCTTGTGTTCCCTAAACTTAATGAGCCAAGACTTCAGATATTTACAGGTAAAGGGAGCTTCAGGCTGCTTAAAAGACATTTACAGGCAAAGTGAGCTTCAGGCTGCTTAAAAGACATCTAAGAGCAGCTTGACTTCTTTTCTCTACCTTTCTACTGGTAACCTGGCAGAAAAGGAGAAACTAAGTAGTCTTTACAAGGCATAGAACATGTTTTTACAGTCACCTAAAGGAACACATTTTCCTTTTTTGCACTATTTAGAGAAAGATTCATCATTCTACTTAAAAATCACACAACTAAACACCTTGTCTTCAGTATAAATTCATTATCACAAGTCTCAACTGCACTTCCATCTTTGCAAAGGACCTTGGTCCCACTGGTTATTTCTTCTTTCCGTTGCAGATTTAGCCTCTCCCTTTTTCTGACCTCCTCCTCCTCAAACAAATTCTAGTCATCTTCCATTCTTGAAAATAAAACCAAAACCCAAACATATAAGACACATCTCTCCTTTGGACCCCAATTTCCTTCCAACAATGTCTACATAGCCAAGCTTCTCAAATGAATTGTCTGCATGCACTGTCTCCAATTCCTTTCTCTCGTTCGTTCTACAATCTACTCCCAATAGGAGTCCATAACAAATGTCAACAAAATAGTTCCTCAGGGTTATATTGCCTAAACCAATAAGTATTTTCTCTCATCTTTCTTCACCTCGCTCTGCAGCATTCAACATAGGTACACATACTCTTTCCTCAAAGACTCTCTTAGCTTGGCTTTCAAGATGCGACTTTCTCCTGTTATCCCTCCTACCTCTCCAGCTATATCACTTAAGTCTTCTTCCCTGATTCTTATTCTACTCTAAACATTAAAGTTCTTCAGTGCTCAAGTTTGGACTCCATTCTCACTTTACTCTCTCTTAGCAATCTTATCCACTCCCCTGGCTTCACTGACCATCTACATGGTGGTAATTCCTAAATTTACATTTTCAGCTCCAAACTATGATATTCAACTGCCTCCAAATACCTGCTGCTTGAACATATATCTAAAACTGCAATTTTCTCTCTTTGACTCCACTTTGCTTTTCCTCCAGTATCTCAATTTAAGTAAATGGCAACACCATCCATTGGTTGATCAAGACACCCACCTCTCCTTTACTCTTATATTGATTCCATCACTAAGTTCTACTGCTGTTACATCTTGAATCCATCTACTATCCTCCATTACCACAATTCTAGTCCAAGCTACATTCTCTCTCATCTGAACTTTTGGAACCCTCCTCTTCCTCATCGGTCTGCTTTTATTCTTGAGGTCTTCTAATTCATTCCTTACACAGCAACCAAAGTGACAGTTTTTAAATCTGAACATGCTGGTCCTTGTAGCCCTTGAAGTGCTGCAGGAAATATACTGACACTATCAGGCATTACTTATCTCAGCGCTGCTTCTTCTTGCTCTCTGTCTTCTTCATGTTCCTACCTGCTCCAGAGCCTATGCAGATACTTTTTATTTTAGCCTGGAATGATCTTAGCTCCAGTCTCAAGGGTCATCCGCTTCTCTTCAGGAAAGTCTTCCCTAACAACTGCCACCTTCCACCATTTGGCCTATTATTAGACCTTTTAATGTTCCTTCATGAGAATAATCACAATTTATTATACATAATTTATTATTTGTTGATATAATCTCTTAATATCTAATGTCCCTATTAAACTTAAAGCTCTGAATTATATCCTGAACACCTAGCAGTGAATGACACCTGGTAAGCATTCAAATATTTGTTGAATTAATGTAATTACCTATTGGCAACTTCTTTTCTTCTTTTTGTGAAGGTGGTGAAAGCATACAACACCAAGGATATCTCCAAACTTATGGAAAAGGTATGCAGCAAACTCTTATCAATAATTCTATTCTGGGAGGTGGTGCCAAGATGGCGGAATAGTCAGACACTTCCTGTGGTCCCTCTTATAACAAGGACCCCAAAAAACAAGTGGATTGATTATATATGACAATCTAGGAGTCCTGAACATCAAAGGCAAAGTTAAGGAATTGGACTGAGTGGCAAGGGAAGGGAGAAACGGTTCGGAAGCAGCAAGGAGTTGCCAGACCTGATCTGGTGGCAACCGGCACCCTGTGGGCTGGTGTGCACGGTGAGGCGAGGAGTGGCGCTCGGGACGCGTTTTCCACATTGGGAGAGACCAAGTAGCAGATGGTCTACTCAAGCCTCCAGAACCAGTGAAAAGCGGCGCTCAACTGGCAAAAGATAAGTATGTGCACCTAACCCACGACAAGGAACAAAAAACAGTGGGAAGAACCTCTCTCCCATTTACCTGCAAAAGGACAAATGTTGTATGAGACCACTATTATAAGAATTCAAGAAAAGGTTTAAACACAGAAGAAAACATTCTTCGATGGTTACGAGGGTAGGGAGGGAGGGAGGGGGTATTCACTAACTAGATAGTAGATAAGAATTATCTTAGATGAAGGAAGGACAACACACATTACAGGGACAGTCAGCACAACTGGACTAAACCAAAAGCTAAGAAGTTTCCTGAATACAACCAAAAACTTTGAGGGACAGAGGAGCAGGGGCCGGGGTTTGGGGACCATGGTTTCAGGGGACATCTAGGTCAAATGGCATAACAAAGTTTATTAAGAAAATGTTCTGCATGCCATTTTGGTGAGTGGCATCTGGGATCTTAAAAGCTAGCAAGTGGTCATCTAAGATGTATCAATTGGTCCCAACCCACCTGGAGCAAAGAAGAATGAAGAACACCAAAGAAACAAGGAAAATATTAGTCCAGGAGACAGAAAGGGCCACATAACCCAGAGACTCCATCAGCCTGAGACCAGAAGAACTAGACAGTGCCTGGATACCACCAATGACCACCCTGACAAAGAACACAACAGAGAGTCCCTGACGGAGCATGAGAAAAGTGGGGTGCAGAACTCACATTCCAGTAAAAAGACCAGACTTAATGATCTGACTGAGACTGGAGTGACCCCAGAAGACATGGCCCCTGGACTCTGTTAGCCCAGAACTGAAACCACTCCTGAAGCCAACTCTTCAGACACAGATTACGCTGGACTATAAGACATAAAACAATACTCGTGAAGAGAGTGCTTCTTAGCTCAAGTAGATACCAGTGACTAAATGGGCAGCTCCTGTCTGGAGGCGAGATGAGAGACAATAAGGGACAGGAGCTGGTTGAATGAACTCAGGAAATCCGGGGTGGAAAGGAGGAGTGTGCTGTCATGTCATAGGGAAAGCAACTAGGGTCACACAGTAATGTGTGTATAAAGTTTTGTATGAGAAATGAACTTGAACTGTAAACTTTCACTTAAAGCACAATTTAAAAAAAAAAAGAATTCTATTCTGTCACCTGACATTTTTATTACCCAGTTCATTGATGCTTCACTGACCTAATGACATACATTTTAACGACCTAGAGATAATGCAAGCTATCCAAACACCGCCTGAATAAAAAAGCACAGATATTTGGTATAGTTTGAGATAAGTGTATTTTGCTATAATCTAATTCTTACAGTTAATAGGATATGGTATTTGTAATAATCTTAATTGGAATCCTTAACCAGCATAATAGAAAAACAGAGTTTTATTAGTTTGACAAACATTTATTCAATATTTCCTATGTGTTAGGCACTGTCAGGTGCAGAGAACAAAGTGTCAAACAAGGCAGACATATCCTTGCTGTCTTGGACCCCATATTTTAGCAGGGGAAATAAGATATTAAATAACTTACATAAATCATCAGTTTACCTTGGTGACAAGAGCCACAAGGAATACAAACTTGGGGAAATCATAACTGTGGTATGTGGCATATACCTGGAGTGGGGCTGGGAGGTTAGAGGATAAGGGAGACCTATCAAGGGGAAAGATATTTGAGTTGAGTTCTGGAGGATGAACAGAAATTATCTTTATGAAGGAAGTGGGCTGGGTAATATTCATTCTAGACAAAAGGAACAACATTACAAAGTCCTGAGACAGAAAGGTGCTTGATATGTTCAGAGACCTGAGAAAAGGTCCGTGTGCCTGTTGCTCAGAGAGTAAAGGGCTGGTGGGACGAACAGAGACTGGTACAAGGTCTTGTTAAAGTTTTAGTCTTCAGGCTACGGAAATCACAGGTCATTCAAGAGTTTTAAGCAAGGGAACCACATGATCAGACGCGTGCTTTACAAACAGAGCATGTTGCTTAGGAAATGAAGGCAGTAGATCATTCACCCAAGTGGTAGGTGTACTGATGGGAAGAAGGGAAGAGACAGCAGTATTTAGGAAATAAAGCAGACAAAAGTTGGTGACTGGATATAGGTCTGAGTGCTATAGTTGTATACTCCTAATTTCTCACAAACTCAACAGAATTTTCCTTAGTTCTATAAAATATTTTCTAATAGGAGTTTTAAGACATACTTCTACCACATACAGAAACCAAGAATTTTTTTTTGGGCAGTATTTAGAACTAGGTTTTAGAATTAATAAAACCTTTCCCATCACCATGAGGTATATTTGCATTTTTATTCTTTCACCTCCTCAGGGATCAGTCAGATCTTGAGAGCTCATTTGATGGAAGTCTAAACAACACAAGCTTAATGTTGACACTGATTGAGCAAGAAATACATCTGGAGTATCATTTCTTGCTGCAACATGAGGTACAGAGCCCTAGAAGCAGGGAAGTTACCTGATGGTTTTGTTCTACTCCACGTCCTCCATGCAGATGCAGCTGTCCCAGGCCGACCTGAAAGTTAACAAAAATTAGGCAAAAGTGAGTGGTAGCATCGGGTATGCAATTAAAATAAGGCCAACCAGACACAAAAAGATTGTAAAAGGTTTTGATTAATGGCTCAACGAAGTAAAGATTTAGTCCTAACTACCGAAGATATTGCTCTACTTTAATTAACCTACAATTTTTAAAAACCAAAAATGTCTGCTTTGAATTCTAAATTATCCTTTGTAAATGAAAGTAAAACGAAGATATTTTCAGACAGCCAAAAACTTTATCACCAATTTATCACCAATGGACCCGCTTAAGGAAACACTGAAAGGTATTCTTTGGGCAGAAGGAAATTCTCCTGGAAAGCTTGAAGATGTAGTAAGAAACAAAGAGCAATGGAAAGCAAAGTTTGTGAGTAAATCTAAATTAAAACAGATGGTATAAAACAATAATGTCTTGCGGGGTTCAGAAATACATAGAATTAAAACAGAGTACTCTCAGGTTCCTGTGCAGACCAGGAAATGGTAAAGGGGCTCATTCATATTAGATTTTGCTAAGTCAAGGATGGGTGTTGGGCTTTTTAGGATAATCACTTCTTGTTGCTGTTTTTAGCTGCCGTCAGATTGAACCGGATTCATTGTAACACCATGCACAATGGAATGAAACACTGCCTGGTCCTGTGCTAGCCCTGTGATCATTGTGGATTGGACTATTGTGAATCATAGGCTTTTCATTGGCTGAACTTTGGACGTAGATTGCCGCCTTTTTTCCAAGTCCGTCTTAGTCTTGCAGCTCTGCTGAAACCTGCTCAAAATCATGTTGTTGTTGTTGTTGTAAGGTACTGTTGAGTTGGTTCCAACTCACAGTGATCCTATGTACAGCAGAATGAAACACTGCCCGGTCCCGTGCCATCTTCACAATCATTGTTATAACTGAGCCCACTGTTGCAGCCACTGTGTCAATCCATCTTGCTGAGGGTCTTCCTATTTTTCACTGGCCCTCTACTTTACCAAGCATAATGTCGTTCTCCAGGGACTGATCCCTCCTGATAACATGTCCAAAATATGAGACATAGTCTCGCCATCTTTGCTTCTAAGGAGCATTCTGGTTGTATTTCTTCCAAGACAGATTTGTTCATTCTTTTGGCAGTCCAAGGTATATTCAGTATTCTTTGCCCACGCCACAATTCAAAGGCGTCAATTCTTCTTCGGTCTTCCTTATTCACTGTCCAGCTTTTGCATGCATATGAGGAAAGTGAAAACACCATGGCTTGGGTCAGGTACACCTTAGTCTTCAAGGTGACATCTTTGCTTTTCAACACTTTAAAGAGGTCTTTTGCTGCAGATGTGCCCAATGCATCTTTTGATTCCTTGACTGCTGCTTCTATGGGTGTTGACTGTGGATCCAAGTAAAATGAAATCCTTGACAACTTCAATATTTTCTCTGTTTATCATGATGTTGCTTATTGGTCGAGCATCACAGCAATGTGCAATCCAGGGAAAGACAGGTGGTGGCTGCACTGAGTTACACTGGCTGACAATCAAACCTAGGTCTCCTGCATGAAAGGAGAGAATTCTACCACTGAACCACCAGTGCCTCTAGGATAACAACAAAAGAACAGTAAAAGAATGTCTAACTACCGAAAGTAGTAGAGGGAAAGAGATACAATAGCAAAAAGTACTCAAAAGAAGGTTAAAAAAAGGAGGGACAAGAGAACATGGAAAAGCAGGATAAACAAAGCAATTAGAAAGCTTAAACCCAAATATATCATTAATTATTTCAACAAAAAAAGTGTCACAATGGATAAAGAATAAATAAAACAAATCATATGATGGTGCCCTGGCGGCACAATGGTTAAGAGCTCGGCTGCTAACCAAAAGGTCAGCAGTTCAAATCCACCAGCTGCTCCTTGGAAACCCTATGGGTCAGTTCTACTCTGTCGCGATGAGTCGGAATTGACTCAACAGCAATGGGTTAATCATATGATGCTTACAAGAAACATACCTTAAGTATAGGAAAGTTGAACAGACATACAGTCGTTCCCCCTTATCCATAGAGAATATGTTCCAAGACTCCCAGTAGATGCCTGAAACCGCGGATAGTACTGAACCCTATATGTACTATGTTTTTTCCTATACATACATACCTACACTAAAGCTTAATTTATAAATCAGGCTCAGTAAGATATTAACAATAATAATAAAATAGAAGCACTTTACGGCTTCTCTGGCATATCCGAATTGCCAGCATCACTACTCTTGTACTTTGGGGCCATCATTAAGTAAAATATGGGTTACCTGAACACAACCAATGCAGACCGTGGCTGACTGCAGGTAACTGAAACCGCAGAAAATGAAACTATGGATAAGCGGGGACTACTGTATTCCATATCTATAGTAACTAAAAGTAGCTAGTATAACTATACTAGCATCAAAGTACAATTTATAACAAAACACATTTCCAGAGATAAAGAAGGATGCTTCATGATATAAAATTCACCAGGCAGACAACAATTCTAAGTGTATACGCACTCAAGAACACAGCCTTAAATATATACATCAAAATTGACGGAAGAAAAAAAAACAACCCATAATCAAAATGGGAAACAATCTTGTCTCAGCACCAGAGAGAAAAAGCAGACAGAAAATTCATTAAGGATACAGAAGATCTAAACAACAGGATTAACAAGCTTGACTCAACAGACACTATATAACACTGTACCTAACAATCATAGAATTCACATTATTTATACACTATTCACACAATATTTACTCAAGTTGACCAAGCGATGGGTCATAAAGCAAGTTCAAGAAATTTCAAAGGGCTGAAATTGCACAGAGCATATTTTGACCACAGTAGAATAAGCTAGAAATTAACAATCATAAAGATACCCAGAAAATCCCCAGAGGTATGGAAATTAAGCAATTCACTTCTAAATCATATACAGGTCAAAGGAAATCACAATGAAAAACTATAGCTAAATATAATGAAAATATGACAGTGGGAGAATTTATTCTGCCAGATCTCGACATATTATAATACAATGAAAATTAAGACAGCATTTGGCACAGGACATGTATGAGAATATGCATAGAGCACTATTTATAACAGTCAAAATCTGGAAACAGTAAAATGGATAAATACAATGTGGGATTTTCATACAATGAAATACCATACAGCAAATTAAATGAATAAATTATATTTGAAAACATGATTTAAACTCATAAACATAATGTTGAGCAAAACAAGTCAGACACAAAACAGTGCTGTATGATTCAATTTACACAAGGTTGAAAACCAGGCAAAACCAATCTACAGTGTTAGAAATCTGCCAGTTAGTTTTGTGAAGGAGGAAGGGATCTGTGATAATTCACTGAGCTGTACACTTTAGATTTGTGTACTTTTCTATATGTATAATTAATAAAATTAAAAAAAATATATATTTTACTATACACTGATTTTTTTAATCTGGGTTTTCCACTGAATACACTAAGATCAGCTTTCCATATTATTACAGAATCTTCTACATGATTTTTAATGGCGGTAGGGTATTCCATTATATAGGAGTGTCATATTTGAGCTAAACAATTCCTTGTTGCTGGGCCTTTAAATTGTTTTGCATTTTAACTGGTCTCTGATGTAAAACAAAATGTTTAATAGGACAAGATAATTTTATTATAATTTCCATGAGCTAAGATTTGGATCTACCTCTCACTGCAGTTTTTTTTTTTTTAAACGTAATACTCCCTTCTGTTAGTCTCAAAATTAATCATTCTTAATAAATATCCACTGCTCATCTCTGAAAGGATTACAAATTTAATAGAAAAAAAAAAAAAGACAGATGCTGAAGTCCTTCTTTTTATTTTGGTATCATCAAAATCAGCCCTGAAGCAATAAATTATACATGGTCCTTTGATGGACATTATATAATTTACATTAAACAAGGCTACTTCTGCCCCTAACCTTGAAGAAATTATGGTCTGAAATAAGCATAGAAAATACGAATATTATATAGCTCTGAAGAGCACCTGAAATTCCGAATGCTCCAGAAACTCCTTGTTTAGAGAAAGTAACAGCTCTGTCCTTGGTGGGTCCTTCATGGACAGTGCCAATGCTGCTCCTTTCAAGGCATGATTGTCAACTGTGGTGCACATCAGATTCACCTGGCCAGCTTTTATGACCTAGCAATGCCTAGGCCCAATCCCATACAATTCAAATGGAATCTCTTGAGAGTGTGGCATTCTTGGTTTTTTTTAATGCTCCTCAGGTGATACCAATATGTAGGAAGTATTCAGGAAACAATGAAAACGTTCTCTTACAGAAGTTCTTGCCTCCAGAGATTGAAATACACGAGGCAATAAGTCACTTCCTGAGATGTTGAAACACATACCTGGGCTTGCACATCCCCTTTTTCGGCTAGGAACTGGTAATACTGAATCAAATCTTCTTCGAGCATTCCACTGTTCATTCCTGGATTTTCCACCTCGTCAGGCAGCCGTATTCTCTGTACTACCGAGCCTCCTGTCAGTGAGATATCACTAGCAACTGGAACAGGGGACAAAATAACAACATGGAGAAGGATCAGAAAGACTGTTCCACTGAGAAGTACAATTCCAGCTGCAAAGTGTTGGCAGAGACTATGTTAAAGGAAACAGTTTCTACAGAAGTCTATGGACTGGAAAATAGCCATCTATTAACAGATCATCCTTCCTCCACAAAATATTTAAGAAGTAAAACACAAAGCAAAATTAAGGTTAAAAAATAAAGTACTCTTTAACCAACTAGCATAAAGGTGACTCTGCTTAAAGGAGCCATTCAGGATATTTTAAATTGTACAACACAAACAGATGTGGTTTAAATTAATTCTTTATTGTTTTGTCATAAACGTGAAAGGGAAAAAATAGATACCATGGTTGGCAACAAGACGATAGTGAGTCAGTGCAGATTCACAACTCTGGAGGACTCCGATCCCAGCCCAGTAACGGTAACCCTAAAAAACAACTTCAAGTGAGAAGACAGCAGTTTCACATGCTTCAGGGGCATTCTTCTTGGAACAGAGAAAGTTAATCATAATCAGAAAGCAATTTTACTGTCCTTTGATCCAAGTACACTAACACTTCATTTATCCAGAGTTATTTTAAGTTTTCAGGTAATCTATTTAACAACTTCAACAATCATACTATAGCTAAGAAGTAGGAAGTAAAAAATAAAATTCCTAGAGCAATCAAATAGATGCCATGAACTTTATAAATGACCTATGCACATTTTACCCATCAGAGAAAATTACTTAGGCTCTCATTTACAACTGATTTTAATCTTATTTTAGACACAATTTTAACAAAAATGGGTTAATCTTCCAAACTAGAAGAACTAGAAGAAGCAACAACTAAGCAAAATAAGGAAGATAAGAGGCTACTAGAAGCAGGCACCAGCAATAAATGGCTTCAGAATGAATGGAAGATAGCTAACTATAAAGAGCAGAAAACAGAACACTTAGCATAGACTCAAATAACCTCACGTCCTTTCATAATCTTTACAGCATTACTGTATAGGTGTTACTGTGTGCCGCTGAGTCAATTCCAGCTCACAGCGACCCTATAGGACAGAGTAGAACTGCCCCATAGGGCTTCCTAGGCTGTAATCTTTATGGGAGCAGAACACCATGTCTTTTCTGCCACAGGGTGGCTGGTGGGTTTAAACCTCTGACCTTATGGTTAGCAGCTGAGTGTTGAAACACTGCGCCACCAGGGTCCCTACTATATAGTAACATGTATAATATTCAATATTCTTATTCTGTAGCCACTAAAGATTAGTAAATAATAACATTTTTAAAACATTTGTATCAAAATATTTAACATACTTTTGCCATATAAAAATATTACATTTCATATTTCTTGAAAATTCATCTAAAGGGAACTTTTCAATTATTGTTTGAGGAATAAATATGTTACTATAAATTAAACTTGAAAATTAGTGAGGAATGTTTCAGAGTGTTAGAGTCACACTCTTGGTTTTCACCTGCTTGAACCCCTTCAGTGGTTTAGCATCGTAACAGGACTAAGTCCGAACCCTTCGGCATGATTTATAGCCCTTTGAAATTACTCCTGTCTACCTGTCCTGCTGATGGACTACCTGGCATTCTACTTTCCAGCCACATGAACGTGCTCAAATGGTCTTACAAACATCACATTCATCTCTGTTCCTTCTTGTATATTGCTCCGGCTTCCTGGGCAATCTTCTACTTCTTCCACTAGCTCATTCCTACTTGTTCAAGAACCACTTCAGTTGTTTCTTTCCTCAAAAGTATCTCTTTAAATCTCCCTCCCCTCCAATCCCAGTATCTAGGTGGTCCTTAAAAGTTTCACACCATACTGGATGGTCTCCTTACTTCTGTCAACTTTTCAGGATTAAATGCTTATTGAGGACAGGGACTGTATCTTACTCATCTTTGAAATCCCAATAACTAGTAAATGAGAAATACCCAGTAAACATGTGTTGCATATATAGAAAATAGTGAGATTATCTACGTTCCATCCAGCTGGTCAGGAAAGTAGGTATTATTTCTTTGTTAAGTCTCATATCCTATCAATGACCAAGCCTGGAGATTCAGTTCCTATCCCTGTCTCTTCTTTTCCAGTTTGCTGACTAGTTTCTCTGTCCTCAGTCTCATTTCCACTCAATCTATCCTTTACATTCTTGCATGAACGAACTTAACATATTCATTTTGAATATAGTAACATGGGTCAAAAGTCATGTGACTTACCGCAAGTCAGTTTACAAAGCAGAAGGTAGGTTAAACACCTTAGCATAAAAGAATTTGGTGGGAAGATTCTACATTTACCATCAATTAAATGACTAATGCTATCAAGTAACACACAGGAGACGCTGCCTTATGTCCTTTACAGAACACAGTTTTTTGTATAAGTTCTTTATCAACTTAAACGGATAATCTGAGATAACCCAATCTAAAAAATGATTCTGACAAAGAACTGCAATTTACAGAAAACAGGAGCATCATTTACCAGGTCTCTCTTTTTCATGGCAATCAGGCAAACTAATCATTTTAAAGGAAAACTGCAGATTCTATCTATTTACATCCACATGTAGATTCAATTTGTTAGGTACAGTAACAAGAATTTGAAAGCTATTCAACTGAATATTTGGTCTTACATAATTAAAATAAGCAAATATCAATCATGAAGGCTGGTAAAGTAGAGACCACTGTAAGCTGTAAATTCTTCTACTACTTGATGTTATTAGCCTTCCACCTCAGTCTTACTTACCAAAACCATGTGGGCTATTAGGTTGCCACCAAGAGCTCCAAAAGTATAATATACAAGGGCCTGTGAAAGAACAAAAGATGCTTAACTGAACACAGGCACATATTTATCCAGTTAAATTACAGCATACAATAAAAATTTAATAGTATTACCTTTGCCTGACTCGAATTAACACCAAGCCCAGAGGCATAGAGAAAGCCAAGAGCCTGAAACAAAATGATGAAAGAATTCTAAAAGATACAGTTTTATGCACTGTGAACACATGCAAGAGACTTTCACTGTTAAAGATCTGAACTCTGCAAGTATGGAATTAAAGAGCTTCAGAAATACATTCATGGTTTTGTAAATTACACAATGAAATGTAACTTTAAACAATTTGAAGGTTTAGCTTGAAGATGAAAAAACAATTTCATAAAATGTTAACTAGAAAAAACAAAGCTGAATACACTTAAACACGAGTTTTACTTTATCTTTATGAGCAGCTATGGTGAAAACAAAACAACTCCTACAGCATCATATCAACATATTATCTATGCAGAGTGGGGTACACTATGAAAATGGACAAGAGATTACCAAGATAAACTATTCTAAGAATAAAAAGAGGCAGCAAGGGATCAAGATGAGGGGCTAAGGGAGAAGAGTTACAATGTTAGAGCACGCACAGTTTTCTAAAACACAAAAATTCCATTTGCCTTTTGTTGAATCATCCTTAATGACATAAAGTGTAAGTTAAAGTTACAAAGGCAGGTGTGGCAGGGGCTGCAAAGAGCCCTGGTGGCACACTGGTTAAAGCGCTTGGCTGCACCAAAAGGTTGGCAGTTTGAACCTACCAGCTGCTCTGTGGCAGAAAGATGTGGCAGTCTGCTTCCATAAAGATTTACAGCCTTGGAAACCCTATGGGGTCGCTATGAGTCGGAATCAACTCAAGGGCAGTGGGTTTGGGTTGGTTTTGGCAGGGACTGCTAGTGCTCATTAAACATCTATGAGCTTCTCTACATTTTCCAGCATCCCATGTGCCTGGGATGTGACCAGAGGTGATACCAAAAAAACAAAACCAAACTCACTGCCATCGAGTCAATTCCGACCTACAGCAATCCTAAAGAACAGAGTAGAACTGTCCCGTAGGGTTTCCGAGGAGCAGCTGGTGGATTTGAACTGTCAACCTTTTGGTTAGCAGCCGAGCTCTTAACTACTGAGCCACCAGGGCTCTGACCAGAGGTGATATAAGCCATTTTTAGGCCCGGCCCTTAAAAAACATCCCAGAGAATTCTCTGGCCCTCTCTTCTCCTTTCATGATGGTTTGAAGCCCCATGTGCCAGATGGGGTACTACATGATGGAAGCAGTCCACAACCCTAAGTCACCACTTGGAAGAACGCCAGGCAGGCAGGAGAGCTGCATTGAACCTAGCGTGAGCAAGAAACAACTTCTTGCAGTGTTAGGACACTGTGATTTGGGGGCCGGGTCTGTTGCATTGGCTAGAATTAATTAGCATGGAGAGAGTTCTCTGCAGTGCATGTACCACTGTAAGGTTCTATTATTAGGAGGAAACATGCTTAGAAAGTTGAAAGCATTCTTCAGCACAGAATGCCTCCGAAAATAACAAATATATGTGTGAATTTTATATAAATTGGTTTATGCAAAGAGGACAAAAAAGCTTCAAAAACAAATGGGAGCAATTAAGATATTATCTGTTTATAAACCAAAACCCAGAATACACAGCGTTGCAGACTGGTTAGCTATTCAGTCTTATAGAAAACAATAGTCAAGATTACTGTTACTATTTAAATAGTCTGTTATTTAAATAGACTTCCTCTAACTATGGTTAGACATTTTGTCTTACCTTTAAGCAAATCCCATAGCTTGAATAAATCTAGCTTGAATAAACTGGAATTACTGAAGGCATTTTAAATAACTGTGGTGTCCTCCTAAATCCAGGCATCACTCTTAGAATCATAAGGGTGAATCAACCAGGTACTATGTATCGACTGATATGATACAATGTGAAATACAGAACATCTTATAATGTTAGTCTAGCCAGAAATATTTTACATGAATTTATCAGCCTTTAGCTGTGACATCCAGTTTACAGGAAATATGAGTGATAAAAAAACAAACTAAATGACACTGTGAAGAAGCAAACAGACAAACTGAGGTAGGACATTCTGCAGAAAAACTGGTCCTATCTTTAACAAGTCAGTGTCATAGAAAAAAAAGTGTGTGTGTGTGGAGGGGCGGGTACTATGCTAGAAATGGAGGCAGAGTAAGTAGTACAGTGGTTAAGAGCTTGGCTGCTAACCAAAAAGTCAGCAGTTCGAATCCACCAGCTGCTCCCTGGAAACCATACGGGGCAGTTTTACTCTGTCCTATACGGTCGCTATGAGTGGGAATCGACTCGACAGCAATGGGTAAGGTAAGGTAATGCTAGAAATTATCTAATATAAGGTATAGTTCTGGACTGGATATTATTTGGACAAAAGAACTGTAAAGAAAATTTTGGTTCAACTGGAGAAATATGAATATGGTGTGGATATTATATGATGTAATAACTGACTTGAATGAAAAAGCAAAAAATGTTGACTGAAAAGAGCAAGTTATGGAACAGTATATGGTGGAATCTTATATTAATAAAAATTCATATGTATACACACACAGAGAAAGGTATAGAAGGGTATGCATGCATTAACATTAACAATTGTGATGTCTGGGTGGTGGAAATGTGATGTTTACTGTCTTATTTTTGTTAGTTTGTAGTTCTACTTTTCTATATCATACATGCACTGCTTCTGTAATAACAGATTATTTTTTAAAAAGATACCAACATTAATAAGAGCTGGAACATTTGAACTTTGGTAAAAATGTAATGGTAATTTCAGATAAAAGATAATTATCTTCATTTAATTCTCTCTACAGATCTAATTTAGAAAACTATTAATGTAGCTGTGGGAAGACACAACTGCAGAAATGCTTTCATTGACCATCAATTTTCTTTGACTAAACTGAAAGACTGTCCAAGATGATTGGCAAAAGGGTCTATCCAAAACTAATATTTCTAGATATTTTACCTTCCAGTCTAACTTGCTAAAAGAAGTCAGGACGTAGAGAGAGAGCAGCTGTGAAAACAAACAAGAGCTGTGTGCGGAGAGTCTCCTTTGAAAGTGCACTTACAGTCTGTCCCTTGGGAGAGCCTTCTTCAGTCAGCTTCTCAAACATCACCTTAGCTGCCTGGATATTCTGTGTCAGGTAGTCACCAAATAAAAGAGCATATGACACTCTCTCCAGGGCCTTTGTATGGTTCATGCTTGCCGCCTTTTGAAGATACCGATATGCCCTTCAAATATAAGTAATAAAAAAAAAAAGTGAATCTTTTGGAACCACCATTAAAATGTTTTTTAAGATCTACTAACATGTAACATAAACCATTTCCTTGTGCTACAGAATTCCTCTGATATCTTAAGTCTACTAAGTCACGTTATTCATACATGTAGAAAACATCTTGGCTACTTTGTTTTTACATAAAGTACCAGTTCTCTCTGACATCCTGGTACTTTGGGATAGTATAATTACATTAATAGTAATTCTAAAAACTTCTGTTAAAAATTAACTAAATTTTCAATTGGAGAATTATCGTAATATGATGGTGTCCAATCAACAATCCAGTATAACTGTGGTAGCTTTCTTTTCAAATCTTTCCACATACAATATAAAAAATCAGCTGAAATCGAACAGAAAATCTTAGAAAAGATAGTCACTTGTGTTACATTCTTTTCAAATGTAAATTCCTAAATTCCAGTCTTTGCCTGGAAGAAAACTACAAAATAAAAATAAAACAAAACACCCTACAACAATTCCTTTTATCTTATTTCATTTTGAATTTTGACTAGTATATATATTCTTGGCTCTTAGAAACTATTACAACTTTAGTCAATTACTTCCATTTTGCTGACTGTTTATTTTTCAGATAAGTATTTATAACCGTTTTGTTCCAACAAGCTAAAATCAGATATAAGCAATGCCACTGAACTCCATATGTCATATTAAGTTTTCCTGTAACGTAACTTAAATCCTTGGGCATCTTTAGCAGTACACGTTGAAAAAAAATTAAATACTTAGCAATTTATCTCAGTAACAGCCTGTCCTGGGGGAAGAATGGACTTGGCAGTGCTACCTACTCTCTTTTTTGGCTTTTCTTATTGCTTCCATTGAGGATTTTCATCCCAGTCTGGTACAGCATTTCTGCTTCCTGCATTTGCCGTCTTTTGGCAGCTTCTTCTTCAGCTAAAAGTAAAATGCCCATGCATTTAAACAGATTTTAATTTCACAACCAATTACTTATCAAACATCAATATTTATCCTTTCTTCTGGGTAGTCATACAAAATAAGTGATCTTTCACTATTTGCAAATCTGACTTTAAAGACACGTGGTTTAAATGTGGCTACTACCTAAGACTTTTTTTTTTTAAAACAAAATAAAACTATCTGAAGTCACTTTCTTTTAGAGAAAGCAATACCAAACTGCTTTTGAGGGGTACTTTTCTGCTAATAATTCCAAAACCTTTTATATAGCTCAGCTAAAATCAGGACATTAGAGAACAGCAGTCAAACTGTCACAGCCATACTGCATTTCTTTAAAGTATTTACAATTACTTACATAATAATTAGTAAAAAATTGATTTTTTAAATTAAATATAGATACTGACAACGCTACAGGTCACTAAATTTTTTCTATTCACAGATACAACACTGAAAATCACAGAACTGTTATATGGATTTCTCAAAAATTATTTTGCTATAATGTAGCATTTTTAACAGAAATCTAGAACTTAGCAAGAGACACCTGAATATTTCATTTTTGGACCAAAAGTATTCAATTCTTACAATATAAAAACAAAAAATCTGATGTATTATCTTAGAGTACCCAGACACACTGCTCTATATCCAAAGATGGACTGTATTTGATGTTATCTTATAGAAATGCTCAAATATTCTATCAGAGTCATTATTTTCAAAATGCTATTTGGTATCAAAGTGGGTATATTTAAGAATTCTGTTGCTATTTTATAGTTAGAAAGTTTTTCCTGAAAACACAGCTTGCCTGTAGCCCCTTTTACCTGATATTAACACTTAAGTCAATTAAATATACTAAACCTGCTAAATGTTACTTTACCATAGTACATTTCACTCAAAATATTTTAAAAAGATATTATTTATTTTTCTTCTAATCATGACTAACTTTCACCATAGTGGTCTGTGTCCTTTATTGCCAAAAAAGGTTTTAATTACTGTAGCAGCCTGCCTGAAGGGTTTACGGAACATGCGCACACCAACTACAAACTGTCTCGAAATAAGACCTGAGTGTGATAAACTGCCCGAGGCTTGGCCTGGAAATAAGTTCATCGTGTGCTTCCTGCTCCTAAGTCTGTTCTGTAAGTCTACAACGAGGTCATTAGCACTGACCAGTTCTGACCAAAGTAGAAAAGGATGGCTAGAAAAAGGCCTAGACAAAAAATCACATGGACATAACCTTCTTACAGAGTAATACTTACTTTCACAAAAGCCCCACTTTTCATCTGCCTTGTAATCATAGGTTGTAGCACACCATAGTCGGCCATCTTCTCTTCCGTCTGATGTACATTCATCATATTCCTTATCCAGAAAGAGAAAGGGGAAGTGACAAGGCTCCCCATGTGCTGTGCCTTCAATGGCGGTCAAAACTGGAGAAATACGAAAAAAGAAAAATCTAAACATGAACAGCACCTCGGTATTCATGAATTTAACATTGTCAGTTTTAACTGTTAGCATTTGAAGATGGAGATCCACAATGCGTGATTTGGAACTGGGAACATAAAGGGCCTAGCACCAATTCCGATTAGGAAAGTCTTGAAGTCCAGTCATTTAGTGAGCATGTCTAGCTGACTACCCAGTATTGATACCTAGCTTAGAATTTTTGATGGTCTTGAGATACAATCTCAGTGATGTTAAAAGTCTACTCTATAATCCCTGACCAACTAGTAAGCAAAAAATAAGGCAAAATGCAACTGAATCAATTCCACTGCTCAGAACAACCCCCCTTGTTTCTATCTGGATGCTGTAAGTCAACTTCTTCAGTAATGTAAAGTTATACATGGAAAATGCTCCCATAGGCTCCATGTACTCCTCTGTGATCCCATGTTACTAGAGTACTTATCTTATGTACTGAAGTTATTTCTTACCATACTCTAGCTCCCACTAGACTTTGAGCATGTTAAGGGTACAGACTATATCTCTAATTTTAAGTTCTTTCCAAGTAACTTCTAAGTGTTGGAAATTATCCAGGTGCTGGAGATAAGGTGGAGCAAAGGTTTCTGCTACTCAGAACTTATTGCCTAGCAAAGCAGAGAGACATTAAACAAAAATGTGGTGGATGTTATGGAAGGGAAAGTCTTCCCCATCAGGAACTGAGGTTTAAATGGAACCTCAAAGATATGTAGGAGTAGGCAGTTAAGAAATAGTTGAAAAAGAGCATGGCATATTAGATAAAATAAAAAGAACTCAGTATAATAAAATATGTAGTGCGAGTGGCAAACCAGGCAAGAGAAGACGGAAAAGCATGCAGAAGCCAGACTGAGAAGGTTCTGGCAAGTCTTCTTAAGTAAAGGAGTTTGGACATCATTCTGAGAACGGGAACTTGCTGAAGAGTTTTAAGTAGCAGTTACATGCTCATATTTTATGCAGAGAGTAGAGAATGGAATGAAAGGAAGCAATGCTGGATGAAAGTTGATGAGTTTAAAGGTTGTGGCAATAGTCTACTTGAGAGGTAAGGGCAGCCTGAAGAGGGCAACGGAGGTAGATATGATACCACTTACTGACTGACTAGATATGCAGGTGAGAGGACAGAGAAATCAAGGAAGATTCCAGGTATTAGGCTTAAGGAAATGCTGGATGGTTGCCCTTACAGATATAGAGAATACTAAGGGAGGAGTAGGTTATTTGATGGGGTGAAGTGGGTCAAAAGAGACAAATTAAGCTTTGATCATGCTACATTCAAAGTGGCTATAAAACAAACAAAACAACAAAAACAAAAAGAAAAAAGCAGTGAAGATATCTTAGACATTTCTTCACTTGTAGCCAAAGAGAAAGTTCTTCCGGGTACAGATATCACTTGAAGCCAAGGGTACGCATAAGAATGCTGAGTGGGAGTGTACAAGAGAAGACCAGAGTCATGACTGAGCCTAGTACATGCTAGGTATGAGTACATGTCAACTTGCACCGCTTACTTTTACACGGAGAATTTAATTAGGTAGCAGAGCCTAGTGATTAAGAGTGTAGGTTCTGAAGTCAGAACACCTGACTCAACTCCTACCACTCTTTAGCTGTGCACTTTGAGCAAATTATTTAATCTCTTTCCTTATCTATAAAATTATTTGTAGATAACTTCCTTATCTACAAACGGGGATGTAAAGTCCTCACCATGGTACTTGTTAAGCTAACAAGAATTCAAGAGATGACACCTGCTATTATTACCAGCACCTCTGCTCGGAAAAGCTAAAAAGTCCCTTCTTTCCCTACAGTGTAAAAAAGGAAACATCCTAAGATACTAATTTAAAAAATATTTTTAATAAGTTATTAAAGACAAAATGAATTTCAAACAGTTTACTACCAGATAAATGCCACTCATTATCCTGGTAATTACTGATCTGAGGCAAAGAACTTTTTCAATTTTGATCTGTCCACACTTTTAAGAAATGATCTTCAACGCAAAGTATCCTTTAGCAACAACCTCAGAGGGGTCATTCTGGCTACAGAATTTGAAGAGGGCACCAACATGTACTGCAACTAGATCCAAATCTTCTTTAAAAGAAGTTTCTGTAAAACTGCGGTTTATAAACTTGAATTTCAATTTAAATTATATATAATGGTTTGAAAGAATATTCAATTTTTTTCTATAATAGAAATCCTTGCTTTAAAAACCAATGGTTTAATCAGGAATTCTAGTTTGCCAAAACTTACACTTTCTAAGTGCTTCCAATATACAATATAATTCTCTTTCATGTGATGGAACTGTATAGTAGAAAAGAAACTGGAAAGAAATCAAATGGTTTTTTGGCAAAAAAAAAAAAAAGGTTTTAACCTACTGATGATTCAGCACTAACTTCAGCACAAAGAAACCCCAGGATGCACCTGCTTCATTAATTTAGTTAAAACTGAAACTTGCCAAAAAATGTGTTTATTAGCAAGTTATTAAAAAGAAAATGTATATCTCTGAGCTATCTTTTCCAAACAAAAATCAAAATAGGGAAACTGTTACTACCCTTTAAACTTATTTCAAATTCTTCCAAAAGTTACTGACTGAGACTTCTAGTTTCAAGTCAATTATCTCAAGCAGAAATTTTTCACACTAGTATTAATTTCAGTTAATTTTCTTTCCATCGAGAAACTGTGAAAGAATTTTTTAAAAACCTCCACAAAACAAGTACCAAATATTAAAAAACAAAAAAACAGTAATCACTGCTCTGGTATAATGAAGCTGATGATGCAATTTAAGTTAATAACAGGTAGTAATTGAATCTGACACTTAAAATGAAAGAGGGAAAAATGCATCATTAAAGCAATTCTGCACCTTCATGTAAAAGTTCACATTTTGTAGATAAGGAATCATGTTCTGGCTCTACAATAATGACACAGTATTACAATCTACATATGCAGACCTGAAGAGTAAGATATTTAATTTATGGTACATGAGAACTTACTGTAATAATAAACAGACTGGTTTATATTTAAACTAGTAAAAATCTGCTCTTGCAAAGTGAATTAAAATCATTCAAGAAAGCTAGAAATGGTGAGGAGGGGACCCTGAAAATATTCAGTGCTGGCTAGGGTATAAGTAAATGGGCACTTTCATACTGTTGGGCAAGAGTATAATCTCTTGAAAAGGATATTTAATAATATCTATTAGAATTAAAAAATATTTTAGAAAAAGGTGTATACCATTAGACCTAGTTTTTCCACGAGAATGTTTACAGAAATGCTCTCACAAGGACACAGGGATATGTGTAAGAGAATATTTGTGCAGTATTATAATTTTAAAAACATAAAACCAAAAAGATCTCAAAGGTCTATCATTAGGAGATTGGCGAAATTAACTATAGTGCAGCCAACAAATGGAAACCTGGGCATCAATACAGATGGAACTAATGGGCACTAGAACATAGTGTAAGGCGCCCCGGTGGCACAGTGGTTAAGCGTTTGGCTGTTAACCAAAAGGTCAGTGGTTTGAACCCACTAGCCTGTGAGAGAAAGATGCGGCAGTCAGTTTCCTGAAAGACTATAGCCTTGGAAACTCTATGGAGCAGTTCTATTCCATCATAAAGGGTCTCTATGAGTAGGAACTGACGGCACACAACAACAACAGAACAACAACAGACGTAGCTTACAGAAGAGAACCAAAGGCTGTCTTGGGGCAAGCTCATGTTTCAAGATCAGGCCCATATCAAGGAACCAGCAGCCAAGCATCTCCAGAAAACGCGATTAACTGTACCAAGTACTGGTGAGGGGTCAGTAAGACGAGGACTAAGAACTGATTAGTATTCGGCAATTAGCATGTGACTGGTGATCTTGAGAAGAGATTTAGTGGCATGAAGGGAAGTAGAGCTTTAGTGGAGTTGGATGGGGGGAGGGGAAGAGTGGAAGTGAAATCAGTGAATATTGACAACTCTCTCAAAGAGTTCTGCTATAAAGGGAGTACAGAAATGGAGTGGTAGCAGGAGGGGGATTTGGGGCCAGAAGATTTTTGTTTTTAACATATAAACTATTACAGCATGTGTGAACGTTGATGGAAATAATCTGAGAGAGAGAGAGCAACAGAGAGAGAAAGACAGCGTGAGTGTGTGCTAAGCAAATGTGGCTTGAATGTTGTTACATGCACTGAATTAAATGTCGGGAATACCAACACATCTTTTCCTCATTTTTTATTGTACAATCAAATCAAAACAAAACCAAAAAAAGTTAACTTCTTGATCTTTATAGATAAAGGCAAGTGATTTAGTTTCGGAAATTTCTCATTTTAAGAGTTTTTACAAGTGGCCCTGGTGGTGCAATAGTTAAGCGCTTTGCTGCTAATCGAAAGACTGACCCACCAGTGACTTTGCAGGAGAAAAGACCTGGCGGTCTGCTCCCGTAAAGATTTCAGCCTAGGAAACCCTATGGGGCAGTTCTATTCTGTCCCATAGGGTCACTCGGAGTCAGAATCGACTCGATACTGACACCACCACTACCAAAAATGAGCTTTTACAGTGTCACGAAAGACTAACATTGTATTTTTAAGTTTAGACAGGTGTTCTGTTAATAAGAAAATTAAATATTTAATCATGCTGCTTGTCTGAAGCAATTCTGTACTTCCAAACACACAGCAGAAAGTGGTTTCTAGTCAAGTATATTTTTAAAATATAGCTGAGATGATTATTTAATGTTAAAAAGCTATAACCTCAAGACAACTATCATAGTGTTCATCAAACTTAGTAAACATCAAGATGAAAATTCAATCATCTCACACGCAAAAAAACCCACAAAACACTAAGAACAAAGCACTAACACAGATGATTTAAAGTAAATCATGCTTGAGTTAAAGTAAACAGTGTACACCAAATAAAGAGGTATTTAATATTGGCTGGGAAATAGTCTATACTAATCTCTTGGGGAAAATAACAATGTTCTGTGATGTGCTACAAACAGACTG